TCTCTGTCTCATGTGCCGTGATGGCGTGTGCTTGAAAATGGGGGCTCCAAAGTGGTAGAGTAGGTAGGGATTGAGTCCCATTTCTGCCATTTGTTAACTGTGTGGCTTTGGGCAGGTTGCTTAACCTCGCTGAGCCTCTGTTTCCTCACCTGTGACATGGAGATCTACCCACCTCGTGAGATTATCCTAAGGATGATAACAAGTTATTTTCAAACTTTTAAAACACCACTCACAATATTTCCATCAGAACCAGTTGGTACACGCACATTAAAACACATGTAGCTGAAATAAAAGGCTTTATGGAATACTCTTACTGTATATACACTGCTTTTTAGCTTAGTTTTTTTTTTTTTAATTTTTTTAAATGTTTTGTTTATTTCTGAGAGAGACAGACAGCGGGAGCAGGGGAAGGTCACAGAGAGAGGGAGATACAGAATCTGAAACAGTCTCCAGGCTCTGAGCCAGCTGTCAGCACAGAGCCCAACACGGGGCTTGAACCTATGAGCCATGAGATCGTGACCTGAGCCGAAGTCGGATGCTCAACTGACTGAGCCACCCAGGCGCCCCAGGCTTAGTTTTTTAATAAAGCTTGTCATGACCCCCAAATTGACTTCATGGCCACTGGCTTAGTGCTATAAACACATATCGCAGACTTGTTTCTCCTCTTAATGCCATTCCTGCAGGTCAGGCAGTGGGCAGGGGCTCGGACTGCGGAGGGGTGCAGGTGGGATTCCCAGCACCCCCAGGCTTGGAGACGAGGTCAGGTCACTCCTCACCTGGAGCTTCCCCCTGCTCTCCTCAGACTTTGTTTCTCAAGGGCCAGGGTGGTCTGCTGCACCAAGTTACCCCGGGGCTGGCCCAGTGCCCGACCGGAGCACAGCTTTGGGAGCACCGACCTTGTCCTGGGCTCTTGCAGGCCTGTGTGGGCTCAGCAGGTGAGGCACATGCAAGAGCTGGCTCCCCAAAGCACCTTAGCCTGCAAGTGAGGGCGCCTTTATTGAGAGGAGCTTGGGTCCACTCTCACCTTTTACAAATGACGATTTGCAAAAAGTCCTGAGGGATTACTTGCCTAGGGACGGTCAGCTGAACTCAGCCCATCTGTGTTTTGTGGCGGGGGGGGGGGGGGGGGGGGGGGGGGTGCCTCCTTAGAACACAGGAAGCCTCTGTGCTGTCCTTGGGAGAAAAGCATTTTTAAAATGCTTTGAAAATGGGAGAAACCCCTGCAGTGCCCGCNTGGGCTCAGCAGGTGAGGCACATGCAAGAGCTGGCTCCCCAAAGCACCTTAGCCTGCAAGTGAGGGCGCCTTTATTGAGAGGAGCTTGGGTCCACTGTGATCTCTATCAGTTAACCATTTGTTTTCTTTCCTTTCCTTTGTTCTTGGGCAGCCCGGTCAGCTGAACTCAGATCATCTGTGTTTTGCCGCGGGGGGGGGGGGGGGGTTTGCCTCCTTAGAACACAGGAAGCCTCTGTGCTGTCCTTGGGAGAAAAGCATTTTTAAAATGCTTTGAAAATGGGAGAAACCCCTGCAGTGCCCGCAGGCATCACTGGCAGAGCCACAGGGGCCCCGGGGACCCAGGGGCGGGCGCAGGGTCCTTTCCTAGCTCCACAGAGGAGGGGTTGGCTTATTTATCTGTTTGCTCAGTTATGTAAAAAGGCTGATGTTCTCTGTCCTGGCTGACCCGTCCCCCACCTGCTCTGTGCCCGCACGGAAGACGAGGGTGCCGTTGCTTCTCGGAAATGGGGGTCAGCTGTTAAAATGGACGCATGTTGTAAGGTCGAGTGTGTCCCCAGTGATGTTTTGTAGCATTTCTTTAGTGGAAGAAAAAGGAAGAAATTTTCCTCCTCAGTAGCGAGGGGGAAAATGTGTCCGGTGCCTTATTTTATTTTATTCTTTTTCAAAGATCGTTATTGAAATTGACAGTGTATTATTACTCTTTAGAAAGAATTTCTTATATTGTGGCATGAATCTTTTCTGTGGGGAAGCTCATTTTCCCCTAGCCCGGGTGGCTTCCCATTATGCGGTGTGCCAGGATAGATGAGAGCCACGTGTGTGTGTGTGTGTGCGCGCGCGTGTGCGCCCATGTGCTGGAATGGAACTCAGCTGAACTTGGGAGGGGAGACGAGGCATTGTTGGCCAGCATGCACCATTAACAGGAAATAGGACTGATAGTATGCAGCATTTTGCCTTTTTTACAGTAAAATGACTGTAGTTACTATTGAATTGAACTTGATAGGCATTCCCACCAGCCTCCTTCACTTGACGCCCCCCTTTCATCATGAAGACCAAGGGGAGGCCCCCTGTTCGTGGAGTCAGATGTTATCAGTCCATTGTGCGAGTGCCCGGAGTCCCTGATCTGACTGCTGAGGTTCATTTTGAGGCTTCAAGTGGGAATGTTTCCACAGGAAGTGAAACTTTAAATAGCGTGTTTTACCCTGGGGCTGCGGCATTTGCGTGGAGAAAGGGGGTTGTGTGCCCTTCCTAAGTAAGGGTCCAACTCAAGAGTTGAGTCCAAATTGGAATTTGATTTCATTCTTTTTTCTTTAAAAAATTTTTTCAATGTTTACTTTTGAGAGAGACAGAATGTGAGTGGGGGAGGAGCAGAGAGGGAGGGAGACACAGAATCCGAAGCAGGCTCCAGACTCCGAGCCGTCAGCCCAGAGCCCGATGCAGGGTTTGAACTCACGAACCTGGAGATCATGACCTGAGCGGAAGTCGGAAGCTCAACTGGCTCAGCCCCCGGGGTGCTCCTGATTTCATTCTTCGGTGTGTGTCTCGGTAGTTAGCTCTCTGGGATGATGGTGTGCGTGCTTCTGTTTTGATCTTTGCGAGCGCCTCCCCTTGGTCAGCAAGGCACTTGACTTGTGTGTGTGTGTGCACATGCGACACCTGTGAAGCATAACCTTACTGACAAAAAGGAATTTCCTTTATTTGTGACGAGCACAACATTTTAAATGGCTTTTGACCAAACCGCCTCCTGAATGTTCTTGTGAACCTCATAAAGTTCTCTAAGGTAGCGTTGCCCTTTACCCTGTTTCTGTGGCTTTTCGGGCCAAAATCTCTGAAGATCATCAGCCCTTTGAACATCTCTTAGCAAATAGCACAGCAGGCCAGGAGCCAAGGTCCGGCTGTGTTGCCCTGATTGGGGACCAGACACCTCTCTGTGTTCTTGGCATTTCAAGCATCTTAGTCTTTAGTCTCTCTGTCTTCAATGTATTCTTCACCCCTGAGAGGCATTCTGGCAGTAAGCAGAGAGGCTTGGTGGGACCCTTGTGTATGGACAGGGGACAGGTAGCAAAACTCAAGGGTGCTCTTTTGTGGGCATTCTCCTTCAGCCTGTTTTGCTCAGACCCACTGCCTTCCAGTAGTGGACGCTCCTCTCTGGCGACACCCTGGGGCTGAGTGTGTGATGGGGGTTCCTTGCCCAAAGTTGGAATCGCCCCAGTCTTCACGTTGGCTGGGAATCGTGAGCACAGCCCAGCCCCATGTGAGAGCATTCATCATCTTCAAACTGGAAACACAAAAAGGTTAAGATTCAATGAAAAACAATTCTCTTATCCCTGAGATAAGCAGATTAATAGTATATAATGTCAATATTTTGGCTGCAAACCATTATCTTGCTATTGATCCAGAGGAGATATGGTATTGACTCATTTACTTTTTGCAAGAATGCTTTTTCTTCTTCTAAAATATGACCGGGGGGGGTCCTGGGGGCTCAGTCAGTTGAGTGTCTGACCTAGGCTCAGGTCATGATCTCACGGTTCGGGAGTTCGAGCCCCACATCGGGCTCACCACTGTCAGTGCAGAGCCTGCTTCGTATCCTCTGTTCCCCCCTCTCTCTGCCCCTCCCCTGTTTGCACTCTCACATAAACAAACATAAAAAAAAAAATGCCATTACCTGGTTTCTTGTCCTCTGTCTCCATTACGACCAGCTCCTGTCCAGTCAGAAGGACAGGGTTAAGTTCAGGCAGAAAGAGCAGTTGGGAGCCCTAGACTTCAGCTGTCAGCCCATTTCACTCTTTGTTCTAAAGTTGATGTGATTGACCTTCCCCACTTCTCTGCTATCTGTCCACCCCCCCGCCCCCCAAGACCGAGTTTTGAATACTCCCGGCAGCACGTCATAAGATCCATTCAGTTCCTTGGAATATGTTTAGGATTTATGCTCTTTCAGTGTCTGCTGACTGAGTTTCCCAGGCTGCATTCTCCAAAAGAGAAACCCCACAAATTCCTTTTTGCTGCTGGCTGGCGAGGGAGATGCTCATCAATTGCTAGAAGAGGGGAAACTGGAACAAAAAGTGTAGCTAAGGCGGTTTTGTGGGGATGTGATTGCAGAGTGGGTTTTCGTAATCAGAGGCTGTTGGGCGCTGCTGTCTGAAGTGGGCTTGAAAGGCCGCGCTCGTTCTTAGCGGTCCACGATGGACGGACTGGTGGGTTGGTGAGGAGGCCCAAGGAGGGAAAGTGCCAGATCCTCTCCCTGAGATATGTCTGTTCCTGGGAGGGCAGGCAGAATCAGGGGGGGGATGCCCCGTGGCCGGCAGGAACATATGTGCACCTTCTTAGGGCCCACAGCTGCCGTGGGGCTGTCCTTAACAATGCTCCCGGGCTCGGAGGCTAAATCTTCTCATTTGTTTGAAAAAGAGGGAACCCTTGCTATCTGTACATTGAGTTTGGATCCAGAGCAGGAGGGAGGTGGGAAGGGAGAGGGATTTAGGCAAGCGAGAGTTTCTCCCAGGCCTCTCAGCGGGGTGGACACACAGATCAATTTCTTATCCGGCTTTCAGCTGGACACTGGGTTAGACACTGCGTTGATCGAGGCGTCCCCTCCTGTTTCATATCATGTAACGCATTCATTGCAGCCACTGAGCCTAAATTACTGTTTGCTTTCTCTCTGCCTTTCTTTTCTCTCCCCCCCTCCCTGACATGGTAAGAACTCGTGTAAGGATGGAGTTAGTTTATCCGTGCTAATGCTTTGATTTTTCTTTTCTCTTTCTCTTTGCCACAGTAGGTAACCAGTTAGGGGCCTTGGTACATCAAAGGTAAGCAGTGGGTTATGTTTTATTATTTATTGATCATTTCTAATTGTTTATTGATCCACCATCTGTACTGGAGTGTTAGCAAGTCAGAGGTTGAGAGTGTGAAAAACCAGGGGCTGGATTTCTTTAAGACTCAAGGTTTTTTTGGTTTTGTTTTGTTTTTTATAGTCCTTTCGCAGACAGGGTAATCTCAAGGGATAAATGAACAGGGGGTATTAAAAATCAGCCATGATTGTATGTAAACTTAGTGGACCTCTAGAATGTGGGGGCTGCTTTTTATCTGTCCACATGCATCTAATTTAAAAGGAGAGGCTATGAAATTTTCCATTCCGATTTGATGGCTTTCCCCGTGTTTTAAGAATCCTTAATGTCTTCATTTGAGCAAATGTGTCCCGAAGAATCATGAGCCCCTGGGCTTTCACGAGATAAAGCTTGTGATTCACAAGGAGTTGTGGCCCTGGGAGGCCAGAAGCCCAGGGCCCACCCCATGCCCTCGTGGCAGGGACTTGCCACAGAACCTTGGGAGAAATGTCATCGTGACTCCCTGCCTCAGTTTACCTCCATAGCCTTCTTCCCTAACAAACTGAGGATTTAGAGAGATACAGAGACCTTTCAGTTTCAAACAGACCAGTCTCTAAGATGCAGTGTCTGCAGTTCCAACCTCATCCTTCAAAAAGAATGAAACATACAGGAAAGCCTGCCGACAGTTTCTCTCCTCGTGGATGACATTCTGTCTGGTGCATCCGTCACTACAACATAGCATCCTTCAGCCCCGCCAGCAACGATACAATTCTGGCCCCTTGTGTACTGCACAAATGTTGGGCAATTTCTAGAAATCCTTAGGCACCCGTTGGCCAAAAGATTGAACCTGGGTTTTGTCTTTGCCGCGTTCCTGGTTTGCTCTGGTTTTTAATGAACTAAAATTATCTAAACAATGTTGTTGTTAGTATCAAACGTAGCTTTCCTGTAAAGCCGTAATTAGTCAGAATTTTGCTTCCCAAGATGTGCATACTTTGTGATCAGACCAGCTTCAGCCTCACAGTTAGATGGAGCTCTGTCACCGGGGAGCCCAGAGCAGCTCCTCTTCATACGTTTCCTCCTCAAAGAGAGTCCGCCCCCACTGTCCCTGAGGGCGGAGGAGCTGCCTGAGTTCTGTGAAGGTTTGTATTAGGAGGCGTTGCCCCCTTCAGTAAGCTCCCCAGGACCCCTCGCTGAGACCCCCGGTGCCACGCACGTGAGCCGTGTCTCGTGGTTGCAGGCACAGGGTCACTGTCACCCTCCACCACGGCCAGGAAGCCCCTCCCATGGGAACCCCGCGCCCCCTCCGGGCTGTGTTGGGCCAGCGAGGCTTGGAGTCTTTGTCCGCAGTGCTCCTGATTCGGGCGGCCGGAATTGCCTGCTCTTGGGGTGAGCTCCCGTCCCCCGGGCGCTAGGGAGGTTCCCTGCACACATGTGAGCGGAGCAGGTGGCTCTGCACGGGGAAGGCTGTGTGCACTCGTCCCGCCAGCACAGTGGCAAGTGCGACTTCCACTGTTTCTTCTGTGTGCCACGCGCTCCCTAAAAACGTGCGCTAGATTCGATCCTTTCCGTGATAGGCACAATTCCAGCTGTGTGAGAGAGGCTTACAAATGCTCATCACCCTTCATTCTTTTTCAAGTACTTGCATTTAGCTTCCTCCTAAGGTAAATGTTTAGATTTAATTGCTTTCTGGGGCGTCGGGCAAATTGGATATTGTCCACAATACACTCACTGGCAACTTCGCAGATTTACTCGAAAGAACCAGTAGTTGTCACACACACACACACACACACACACACACACACACCCAACCCAACCCAACCCGTAATGGACGGGAGAGCATTTAACACAAGTGCCTAATTATTCCGTCCTGGTCAGCACTGATTAGGCCTCTGTTGGCTACTGGTTCCATTTGGAGCATCGCACCCTAAACAACAGCTAGATTAGTTCCATTTGGAGCATCGCACTCTAAACAACAGCTAGATTAGACAGAGGCCAGAAACAAGAGAAAAATTGGGAAACAGGGAATGTTGAAGAGAGAATGGAATATCTGTATCTGCAAAGGAGACCAGGAAAGGAAATCCAGACTCACTCCGTAAGCCCTAGACAACGTTTAGGTGTTAGGCAGGACTGAGAAGACAGGCCGCTGTTAGTAGAGTTGATGGTTTCATGAAAAGGCAGAGGCTTCTTCCTCTGACACAGGGAGAGCAGAAGGTTGAGTCCTTTTGAGAAGGGATTGACCAGAGGTCCATCGGATGACGCTGTTTCTCGAGGGCTATGGCCTTGGTAGCCCCATGGGCACGATGCGCATCTGAAGCCTCTATCGTCCAGCACTGCCACCATGGGAAATTTGGGGGGAAACCTAAAATGGCTGTGGATTTCTTTATATGTTTTTCCAAAATGTTCTTTGTTTTTAGGGCAGTAATAACAGAAGAATTCAAAGTGCCTGATAAAATGGTTGGATTTAGTAAGTATCCACAGTATCTACTTGCCCCTGCTTAGTCTTGCAGTGTGACTGTCACTGTGGTGGAATGCTTTGCACACTGTGTCCCCCAGAGCCCTGATGTGCCATGGGTCTCGCTCCAGGCTGAGAGAGAGATCCGCGGGGGCCCCCTCCCCTGTCCTCCTTCCCGCCCTACCCCCTCCTCTCCACAGTTGGGCTGGGGTACCCTGTGTCTGTCTGCTTTGTTTCATGTATGATTTTTTTCTCGTGGGCTCACCAAGGCCACCCTGATTGATAGTGCTGCGAGCCAAGTGTAAATGTTTGTGGAGTTAATTAAGCCCTTCGTGCATGGCTGTAGATGGAATTGGGGGGGCCACGATCTGACCCTGTTCAATTTGTTTCAGTTATCGGCAGGGGAGGTGAGCAGATTTCACGGATTCAAGCAGAATCTGGTTGCAAAATTCAGATTGCTTCAGGTAAGGCTCCTCTCTTCATAGATCTCAGTTTGGTAGAAATCGGTGTTTTGCCAAGTTTTCCAGATTTCATTACCTTTGCTCGTTAACTTAGAAGTTCGCGGGGCGTGGGTAAGTATATCGAGTGCTGTTTTCCTTGCATTTTTGGAGCCGGACTCCCAGATGAGAACCAGAACAACCGGGGCAGAAGCCGGCCCAGACACGAGGCCCTCGGCGGTTCCGTGGCTCCCCGTGGCCCCGGCCAGACGCCTGCTGCTCTAGGTGTTTGTTTTCTGCCCCAGGGCGCGATGCCAGGCAGTGGGGCCCGGGAGAGTGCTGCGGCCGTGCCGTCACTCGAGGGGCTGCTGGCCGGCTCTGCTCTGTGGAAGGAGGCCAGCTGGGGTTCTGGCTAAACGAGCACGTGTTCCACACGGCCCAGGACCCTCCCCAGCTGGGTCCGTTTCGGCCATGCGACATGGAGAGAGACAGATTGCAGAAGAAGCATTTTTATTAATAGTTCTAACAAGTTTGCATTTGCTCTCTTTCTGTAGTGGAGGAGCGGGTTTGGGGGAGGACATTGCACTAGAGAAGGTGTCATCCGCTTACAAGACACACACTACAGTGTCCTGAAGGCAGTAACTGCCGTTAGTTGTCTTTTTTTTTTTTTTTTTTTGAGTGAGAATTTGGAGAGGCCATGTTTTTCGGATCAAAGTAAAGCACTGTGTGGTGTTGGAAAGCAAGCTCCTCTCTTGTCAGATGGCCCAGACCGAGTTCCACGGAGCTGCCACTGGTGTCTTGGGTGGCCATGCAGTAACGGTGCTCATCAGGGCGGGGTGGTGGGGGGCAGCCTGTTAATTTCCTCAGCCCACCGCCGGGCCGCTTGCCCACAGGCAACCAGAAACTGCTGTGCAAGCGGAGAAACTGAGGAAAAGCGGGCCACGCGGCTCAGGCCCTCCTCAGCACACACATGGGTCCTAAATGAGGCGAGGCTGGTCGTTAGGACCCCCTCAGACACCCCTGCCGCGTGTCCTGTCCACCCCCCCACCCCCACCCCGGCAGAACCTGTTTCTGCTCTGAGAACCCAGGGTGGCGGCACCAGCTTCCCGCCCTGTCCACGAGTGGAAGCACATCGTCTTTTTCTGGGGCCCGGGCTTCTGTGGGGCCGGCCTCGGAGCCAGCCCAGGGAGGCAGCCTGCACCCGGGGGCAGAGGCGCACGGCCGCCCGGCGCCCACCAACACACCTCCTCTTCTCGGTTCTTCTTATAGAGAGTTCTGGGATTCCAGAGAGGCCCTGTGTACTTACCGGAACCCCAGAAAGTATTGAGTAAGTTTATTTTATTTACTTTTTCCTTTTACTCTTCTTCTTCCTTCCCCACATGGGGAGACACGGAAGGGCAAAACTGACCAGACACTGTGGAGGTGTGCCGTGGCCTGGCCTCGACGGCAGACGCTTCTGTGGAAAAGGGCCTGGGAGGCTGCCACGCCAGGGGAGTTTTCTGTGGCACACGCATGGTACCACCCTTCGGTCAAATTCTATAGAATCTCTGGCGGTGGCCCTGACATCGTCCTACACACCAGGTTTCCTTAAGAGCCCGAACACTCTAGGCAACCTCCTCCTTCCCCAGCGCCCCCTCCCTCCTTTACCTGAGCAGGTCTGCATTCGTGAGCCTGGCGCTTTGGGAAAATCCCGGTACCAGGCCTTCTGCCTGGGCCCACCGCCCTGCCCTTCTGAAACTTGTGAACCAAACGGATTGACTCTCTGTGTCCATCGCTCCCCTCTGCGGGCCGTATGGACCGGTCAGAGGGCGTCTTGACTTTTGGGGCCCTTGCAACCCACCCAGTGATGAGCGTTGCTTTCCGACCCTGGGCCGCCCGCGCTCAGAGCCTTGCCGCAGATGCAGGCCCCGTAAACCCAACAGCCTCCTAGGGGACGGGGACGTACTAACTTCAGGCCTGCTCGCTTTCCTCTTTCAATCTGCTGAACTGCGTTTGGGGACAGGGGTGCCGAGATTACGTCTGGCTCAATAGGCAGGGCTGTTTCATTGTTTCCATTTCTCTGGGAGTCCAGATGAGTTTTAAATTCTCTTGTTCTGCCGCAACATTGCAAGCAGTGACCCAGAAGAAGGATTGCCGGCAGGTGTGCATTCTAGGGCACGCGGGATGGTTTTGCTGGAGTCGCGGCAGTTTTCTTCCAGTGCAGGTTAATTTAGCACTCAAGCAAAATACTAAAAAGCTGCTGAGCTGAGAAGACCCGCAGGCCGATACTGCCCACGGGGGCTCAGGACTACCAAAGGCAGCATCTGTTTCCTACATCGCTCTTCTTCCCTCTGCTCCTCTAACTGTTCCTCTTCCTCTTGTCCCCAGGCGTTCGGGGTCACGGACCGTAGCTTCAGGAGGCGAGGAGACAGTACAGCCAGCCTGTGTAGTAGCTCAATTCTTCCCCATTGGCGGAACCAAAAAAATGAGTTGTACATGGTGGTTTAGAGAGTACATAAGTGAAAAACAGAAACAAAACCCAAAAAAGCCAGCCAGGGGAGATTCTGGTGCAGAGAAGGCAATGGCCCCACGGGTGGCCTCGGTGGGTCGGGGGTGCTGTTTCAACGCCGCGGCTTCCCGCCCCCGCCTCCAAACCAGCACCCGACAGTGTCGCGTGGGGAAAGCGGGGTCCCGAGAATCCGGCTGGGAAAGCTCAGAGCAGGCGTCGGTGACTGTGCGGCCACACCAGCGTCCAGCCTCCTCCCTTTCCCGCCCCTCGAGACCCAACTGGCGATTCACGGCCTTTGCTCAAAAGTTGTAGAGCCGGCTGGTCAGGGAGAGGACCTTTGGAGTCTGGGAATTCCGACGGTGACTGCTAACCCTTGCTTTCTTCCTTCCCGTCTCGCGCTCTCTCCTGCCCGTACTTAACCAGCGTCGTACTGAGGGTCTCCTCTGGGGGAAGCGCCGTGCTGGACAGGGGACCGAGAGAGGGGTGCAGGGGGGCCAAGGCAGCAGCTGACCTTTCTGCTGGAGACGAGACCGTGTGGGAAGGGAAGACCCGGCAGCATCACAAGCGGAGTGCAGGCCGGAAGGGGGCTGTGGCGGGGCGCTGGCGTGCGGCGCGTGTCGCTCTTACGTTCCAGCCCGGTAGCGAGGCGGATGGCAGACACCCCCCGGGCTGTGGGGGCAGGAGCTGGAGCTGGACGGAGGGCTGCCTTGACTCCTTCGTGGCTCCCCCCCAACCCCAGCCCCCTGGTGCCGTTTCCCTTTCATGGATGCCTCGCACACTCACTTAATGCTCCTTCTCTTGTGATTCCTTTCCCTCCCAAAGACAAGCCAAACGGCTCCTGGGGCAGATTGTAGATCGCTGTCGGAACGGACCCGGCTTTCATAATGACGTAGATGGCAATAGCACGATCCAGGAGATTCTCATCCCTGCGTCTAAAGTGGGCCTGGTCATCGGCAAAGGAGGGGAAACAATAAAGCAGCTGCAGGTAGGTGAGGCCTTCCCAGAGCTGGGGGGTAGGGGGTCCGGTGATAACTCAGGCCTCCCCTCCCCCCACCGCGGGGCTGGCTGTACACACGCGGCTCAGGGTGGACTTCCACTCGGGGGTCCCACAGACCCTCTGCTGGACACATGCGTCCTGAACACATACCGTGGCCAGCCCGAGGCCCGCTGTGATGCCGAGCCCCGCAGCACCTGTGAACTTGTCGCGACTTTGGGGGCAGTGATGCTGCTAGGATTTTACCAACCCGTGGCCACACCTCAGATGCAAGTACTGTATCCAGAGCTGGGGCTCATGGCCAGCCGCACGCACCCTCGTCAGCCGTGTGATCTTGAATATGTTTCCCTGTGTTTCGAGGGCTCAGAGTCCTTGTCTGTAAAGGCAGGGACGTGCCCGCCTCACTGCTGTGAAGCAGCTGCAATAACCCTCGTGGTTGCATATTCGTACCTGACCCCAGCACACAGCCAGCGACTGAGCAGGTGCTCCGTGGACATTAGCTGCTTCTGTTCCAGAATCCTCCATCGGAGGGAGACCTGGGGAGCCAAGCGCGTTTCAGAATTGAACACGCCTGGCAAATTCCGGGGCCGCACCCCATAATCTGATCCCCGTTTCTATAGCTAAGCGTGAGGACAGTCACACTCAGTGAGGGAATGGTCCAGAAATAGGTTTTCGGGACTTCAGGTTGGTTTTGCTGCCAAATGAATTATGAGCAAACTTTTATTTCAACTTCTGGGCTTTCGAAGTTGTGGGTCAGGGGTCAGGGTCCACCGGGGTGCCCTCGCTTGGCCCAGTCCTCAGACTGGCAGGCGCTCTCGTGCATGGGCTTTAGAGCCCTAGAGGCCAGAAGCCACCTCTTGCTCCCCAACCCTCCACTCCAGAGGCTGGGGTGGCTCGCTGTCCGAGCCCGCCCCGCAGTGAACGGGGGAGACGGTCGCACCTGCTTCTCAGCTGAGTGGCACACGGGCCCTCACACGATGGTGTCCGCGCTCCGCACTTCCTAACGATAGTTGGTTAGACTGGGGTATTCTGGGGACCAGAAGAGGAGAGGGGTTGGGGAAGTGGCTTTCTGTCCCCGCCTCGAGGCTCTCTGGCATGGCCTGTGTTCCCGCATTCTCAGGGCACAGTGCATGGGGCGGGCGGGATGTGGCCCCACCAGCCTCCTGGGCCGCGCTGCGTTCCCGCTCGCGGCGCTGAGGCCCGTACTGCGTGCCGTCCCCACAGGAGCGGACCGGTGTGAAAATGGTCATGATCCAGGATGGCCCGTTGCCTACGGGAGCAGATAAGCCCCTGCGCATCACCGGAGACCCATTCAAAGTACAGGTGGGACACACTGTGCGTCGGGGCCGACCCTGGGTGTGGGGGTGTCAGGCTGTAGGAACGTGTAGCGCTTCTGTGTCGTTCAGGAAGTTCTAGAACTGATGTTCCTTATTTACGGTAAGCGGTCGTCCCCAGCTAGCTGTGATGCTGGAAGGGATTAAGGGCTATGCTGCCCCTGGCAACAGGGGGCCTTTAAATGAACTCAAATTAAATAAAAATCGAGTTCCTCATTGACGCTGGCTGTATTTGGAGAACCTGAGGCCCCATGAGGATGGTGGCTGTGGTCACGGACAGGGCACCTAAAGGGACACTTACCCATAAACAGAGATGGTTTCGTCACACGGATTGGATGCAGTTTCCTATGTGGTGGCCTGCAGTCACCTCGGGTGTGGGCTCCATTTGGCTCTTACTCGATTGTTCTCTCTATGCCCGTTTTTGGAAGGCCTCCAGCTCAGGTGGGAGGTGAGCATCCCCCCGCCCCCCCACCAAGGCATGTGTGTGTCCCCGAGCAGGGGACCTGTGCCCTGAGCGCCCCAGCCACAGAGGACAGCCCACTTCTGAAAGCAGCCTGGGGCTTAGCTGGAAACCATGTGGGTGGCTCCATCCTCCACCTCTTGCTGTCGGCAGGGATGCGAGTGGGCTGCGGGCACGGGGATGTGTCCGTTCCCGCGAAATCCGAATGTTCCCTTTCTGCCCGCTGCCTGGCCTTTGCTGCACTTGGAGGAGCTCCAGGCTGACGCGCTTTGTGAGCTGGTCTGTCAGCAACCGTGCTATCTCTGTGGGAGTCCTGGGGCTTCGATCCAGTGGATGTTACCTACCAGTCTCCTGTTACCTACCAGTCTCCAGCGAGATCCTTCCCCCAATCCTTCGCTCCCCCAGCATTGTCTGTGTGCGTGTGTGTTGTAGTTGGCATACGATACCATGTCAGTTTCAGGGGTACAGCATAGTGACTTGATACATTGTGAAATCATAGACAACACGAAGTGGTTCATCATAGCGTCCGTCACAGTGCAGTTACTATATTAAAGTATAATCAACTTTACTCCTCTGTTCTACTTCTCAACTCCAGGAGTTATTTATTTTATAACTCTTAATCCCCTTCACCTATTTATTTCTCCCAGGTTTTTTTTGTTTATTTTTGAGAGCGCGTGAGTGCGTGCGCCAGCAGGGGAGGGGCAGAGACCGAGGGAGACAGGATCTGAAGCGGGCTCTGCGCTGACAGCAGCGAGACTGATGTGGGGCTTGAACCCCGATACCACAGATCATGACCTGAGCTGAAGTCGGTTGCTTACCTGACTGAGACCCTGTAAAAAAATGGTTTTAAAACAGGATTGAGGGCCAGTGATTAAAATGGCCTCTATCCTTAGGCTCCAGTCAGTGACCCAGCCGTCTATGCCCTTCTGGTGGACCCCGGCCCCCAGGGGACTTCTTCCCCAGGCTTCTAGACTCTTCAGGTGCTCGCAGGTGGGCTCCCTGCTTGCCTTCTCTGTTGGAACTTTTTGGCTCTTTTATGAAAAGAATACCAAAGAGCTTATTTTGTTAATACTTCAGGAATTTGCTGGAAAATTATTACAATGGGTTTTTAGTGTTTGTTTTTTTTTAAACTGTGTATTCCACATTTTTTATTTGGAAAAGCTGCTTGCTATATTAAGTATAAATTATTGTTCATTTGTTCTCTCTCTCCAACTTTTTATTATGCAAAACTTCAAGTGTATACACACGCTGAAAAGAGAGAACCATGAGCACCTGTGTAGCTTCATCCTGGCTGTCAGTTTGCCGCACTGGTGTGAGAGAGAGAGAGAGAGAGAGAGTGTGTGTGTGTGTGTATGTGTGATTTAGTTGCTTACGTCTACCTCACCGGTTGTAAGTTTGGGGCAGGCGTCACGATTGTCTGTCCCTAGATCCTGCAGCGTGTCTGTCCTAAGAACTAACATCCATAAAACCACGCCTAAGAAAATAATAACAGGCCCCTAACATCCTCTGTCAGTCTGCCCACACTCCTGATTTCTCCAAATGTCAAGATTTTAATTGTTATCTTGGGACTTTTTGGTTTGGTTTGGTTTTTCCAGAACCCGGGTGCCATGTGGGTTCTCACATGACCTTGGGTTGTTACGTACGGCTCGTGCTCAGTGCAGATTCCTGTGGGGCAGGTGCAGGCCGGCCGGCCGGGCTTCAGTGCTTTTGCGGGGAGAGGATGCCGAGGGTGCTGCCAAGGTCGCCGGGCCCGCGAGGCAGTCTTGCTGGTCGGTAATTGGGGGATTTGACCTCTGGCTACAGGAAGGTGTTTCCAGGCTCCCTGGGCTGGCCTTTTCCCTTTGTCTCGCTGCCGCTCTGCAGTGGAAGCAGTGTAGAAGATGTAATGTCTTTTCTGTGGAACCTGCCCACAGAGCTCTCTAGAAGAAACAGTTTGCCCAGAGATGCCACAGGGCCGTGCAACCAGGCTCTGCCCCAGCACAGATGTGCTGATCTGACTGTGGCTTGAAAGAGGCTGGGCCCCAGTCCGTGTGGGTGTAGTCCTTGCATCGCCCACAACTGGGCCTGTGTGACCCTCACCAGCAGCCCTCCCTGTCCCACGCTGTAACGCAGGGAGCGAGCTGGCCCACTGCTAAGCGCCTTTGGATCTTTATGCCCAGCTGAACAGGGTCTGGTCTTGAAATTTCATGTCTTAGCATTTTGTTTTGCATAATGCCTTTCCTCTGTGTTCACACAGCAAGCAAGAGAAATGGTGTTGGAGATCATTCGAGAAAAAGAGCAAGCCGACTTCCGAGGCATCCGCGGCGACTTCAATGCCCGCGTGGGAGGAGGCAGCATAGAGGTAGGCCCAGCCTGCCGGTGAGTTCCCAGCTCAGTTCCCAGGCACGCGAGCCGAGCTTTCAGATTGCAGGCTGCACTCCCATCTCATCTCTGCCGCCAGGGTGGGTGTGAGGAAGGACCTAGGTGGTGGCCATGGGGAGCGGAGCCAGCTGGCCTGCTTTGTAGGGAACGGGGTCATTCCTCCTGGTTCCCAGGTGGGGACCCGAGTCCAGGTTTCTTCAGTGCCCTGCATTGTGATGCATCCGACTTGGAAGCCCGGCTCCCTGACAAGGAGGGATGGATGAAAAGCTTTCCTTTTGAATGAAATCTTGAGATTCGCGGCACCACCGCAGGCACACCTTACAAACGTGCTTAGTAAGATAAGGCAGATAGAGAAGGACAAATCCCGTGTGATTCCACGTACTCGAGGTGCCTGGAGTAGTTCATAGAGACAGAAGGTGGAGGAGAGGGGATCGGGGGCGCCGGAAGGAGTCTCCACTCAATAGAATATGGAGTCCTGGGTGGGAGGTGATAAAAAGGTTTGGGGGGATATAGAGGCTGGTGATGGCTACCTAACGTCGCGAGTGTGTGTAATGCTGCTGAGCTGTATACTTAACGAGCAGTTAAAATGATATAAAGACTGTTCTGTATATTTCTCCCAATAAAAGAATGAGGTGGGGTGGGGAGCATTTTAACGGACCTTCAGTGTAATCCATGTGCGTGGTGCATTTATGCTTATTTCATAGAATTGGGAAGATAAGCTTGCCATTTTTAACCTTTTATTTATAAAGTTTATCTTGCTTTACTTCATGTTTGTAATTATTCCGATCGAATGTACTTAACAGGCAGGAATGCCACCATCAACCACGATATTTTTCCTAAGAGGGAGAAACATGCTGAATTATATCATTTCTAGGAAGACGCTGCAATCAGAATCAAGTTGTTTTCTTTTCTTTTTTCTTTTCTTTTCTTTTCTTTTCTTTTCTTTTCTTTTCTTTTCTTTTCTTTTCTTTTCTTTTTCCCTTTTCTTTTCTTTTCTCTTTTCTTTTCCCTTTTCTTTTCTCTTTTCTTTTCTCTTTTCTTTTCCCTTTTCTTCTTTTCTTTTCTTTTCTTTTCTTTTCTTTTCTTTTCTTTTCTTTTCTTTTCTTTTCTTTTCTTTTCTTTTCTTTTCTTTTCTNAACTTTCTTCTTTCTTTTCTTTTCCCTTTTCTTCTTTTCTTTTCTTTTCTTTTCTTTTCTTTTCTTTTCTTTTCTTTTCTTTTCTTTTCTGTATCCTTTAAGAAACAACTGATTTGCAGACAGCTCTGATCAGGTTGCTTCCCTGTGCTCTCAGGTGTCTGTGCCAAGGTTTGCTGTCGGGATTGTAATAGGAAGAAACGGGGAAATGATCAAGAAGATTCAGAATGATGCCGGGGTGAGGATTCAGTTCAAGCCAGGTTGGTTCTGCTGACTCTCAAAAATCCCTAGCGCTGTGAAGAATTATAAGAGCACTTAACAAGACAAGGACTCTGTACTTAGCACTCATGTTTTTTCTTCTCCCGCCCTCCTCCCCCATTCTGTTATCCGATTACCATCCAGCTTTCTCCTCGGGGCCCTCATGGCGTTTCCAGCTTTTCATTTTGTCAAGTAAAGACTTCAAAAAAGAAATCCATTATTTTGACTTGGTTATTTAAAGATAAAACCATTTGAAAAAGGACTAACGTCTTAGAATAAAGGACAGTTCCCTAAATGTTGTAGATTTGCCTTCATGAGCAAAATTGTTTACGTTGTCTTAATTTTCCTAAAGGTGGGAAAACATTGCAGTACACTTATTTCTGGAAACATCGCCATAGCTCAGCTCTGCTGTCTTTCACATTATTGCTTTTTGTTTCTATAAAGGTATCTTTTTTTTTATTTTAATTTTTGTAATGTTTATTTTTGAGAGAGAGAGAGAGAGAGGAGGAGCACGCAAGTGGATTAGGGGCAGAGAGAGAGGGAGACACAGAATCCAAAGCAGGTTCCAGGCTCCGAGCTGTCAGCACAGAGCCCGATGCAGGGCTCAAACCCACAAACTGCGAGATCATGACCTGAACCAAAGTCGGACACTTAACCCAACTGAGCCATCCAGGCGCCCCTGTAATGGTATCTTTTTAAAATGGCTATAACTCGGGGTGCCTGGGTGGCTCAGTCAGTTGAGTGTCTGACTTTAGCTCAGGTCATGATCTCACAATTTGTGGGTTTGAGCCCCATATTGGGCTCTGCACTGACAGCACAGAGCCTGCTTCAGATTGTCCATCTCCCTCCCTCTCTGCCCCACGTCCTCTCTCTCTCTCTCTCTCAAAAATAAAACCATTAAAAAATAATAAAACGGCTATAGCTGCGTGGGCAGTGAGTGTTGGCACGAGCCGTATAAAGAGAGATAGTCGTATGTGCTTCTCTGTGCCTCCAGTAGGAATATGGATTGCAAGTCAGATTGACCTTTGTTTCCGAGCTAAAGTGGGGCTTTTCCTAACCTCGTCTCTTGCTTTGTTGGCAGATGATGGTATTAGTCCGGAGCGAGCCGCACAAGTCATGGGGCCCCCAGATCGGTGTCAGCATGCGGCGCATGTCATCAACGAGCTTATTCTTACAGCCCAGGTGGGTCCGCTTCTCTAGAGTTCAGATATGGCCTCCGCAAAAGCCGAAGTGCCACACAGGACCTGGGGACAGCACCACAGAGCAGTCACGCCCTCTCGGTCACCCTTCTGGAACCCGGGGCTCCCGTCGGTTGCCTGCCTCTGGGGGCACCGCCGGCGGCCCCTCTGCGTCTGCCCTTTCCTGGCTTCCCGTTGTTCTGTTGCTCACTTCTCACACTCCTGCCTTTCCTGTCCCGGGATCTAGCTTTTGTTTATACGGTAAGTCCTGCCCGTGGAAACCGCCTGGAGAAGTACAGCGCGGGTCACCGGCTTTCAAGCCGCAGGATATACTTTGCGCAGGACTATTAGATGGACTCTAGTCTTAGCTTCTCCAGAACACACTTCGGGGTCCCGCAGAGCCTTTGGGCCGCCTTCCTGCCCTGATTCCGTCCCACTGCTGTCAGGACGTGAGCAAGCTGTGTGCCGCTGTTAGCGTCTCCACTCGCTGCGGCCGCGCCAGATCATTGTCACACACACACGCACACACACACCGCCGCTGCCGCTGCCGCCGCCGCATGCCCAACTGAGGGAGAGCTTGAAATTACCTGGAGCCGAAGAGAGACACGTGGCTTGGAAACCGCAGCCCCAGCTCTGCTGTCAGCGGCGCATGCCGCCCCCAGGGTCCCCCCAGTCAGCAAGCGTCCGTGCCAGACTTACAGGTTCATAGCCCCCTCTCCAGACTTCCCGAGTTAGCACGTCCCAGAGGGGCGTGGGCTTCCTGTGGAGTTACAGGCACACCTTGGGATGAGACAGGCCCAGGAGAGAATCCCTGCGGGAGCCCAGCATCCTTTCTGGCAGAGAGGGGTCTCAGACCCAGAGCTGCGGAGGCGTGAGCGGTGGGGGACAGCCTCACCCCCGAGAACCTGATACAGGCCGGGAGGTTGGCTCTGTGTGTGCATGTGTGTGCACGTGTGTGTGGGCAAGTGTGCATGCTTTTTAACGCCCGTCCCTAAAATTGCTTTGTTTACTCACCGTTTGTGTCTTATAAAAGCCAAGTGCAGGGAAAAAGACTCTCCAATCATTTCCACTTGCTGCTGGTTTATTTAGATCCTGGGTAAATGCTTACTTTTCATCAGCAGAGGCAGCTCGTGCCAGACAGTTGTCCTGTGCTGAGTCTGTCCCGCGTACCCTTCCGTGAAGGGGCTCTCAGCCAGACCCGGTCTGCCCTCAACAGATAAAGAAGATAAGGAGCGCTTGGGGGGCTCAGTAGGTTGAGTATCCAACTTCGGCTCAGGTTATAATTTCATGGTTCATGAGTTCAAGCCCCATGTCGGGCTCCGTGCTGACAGCTCAGAGCCTGGAGCCTGCTACGGATTCTGTGTCTCTCTCTCTTTCAAAAATAAACCAACATTAAAAAAGCAAACAGAGAAAGAAGATTTTAAATGCCGCAGCTCCAGAGTGACTCGGGACAAAGACCTCCAATGAGATCGGCTGCCCCTTAGGGAAAGGAGCCTCCTCCTGCTAGATGTTAGGTGCTGGCCGAGGGTTGTGCTCTCTGCTGGTGGCGCCGTGTGAGAATGAGAGGCCGCTCCACCCCCAACCCACGGGCCCAACCGCGTGGTTTGTTCCTTCATTCTGGGGGGAATGGCACAACCAGGCTCTCTTTCAAGAGCCTTTCATCCTTTCTGGCGGTTGGGGTGTGAGGTGGCCTGAGCCTACAGCAGTGCCGGGGTGGGGAAGGGCGGAGGCATACTTGTCCCTCAGGTGCCCACTTGAAATGCCCACAGCTCGTCAGCATCTAATGGCAGCTTTCCGGTAGGCCCAGCAGGTGTCCGCCACAGGCCAGGGCGGCCTCAGGTGGAGGAGAAAACCGGCCCCTGACACCTGGACATTAGGGCCCAGTCCTAAGGACTGCCTCGCGGTGGGGCGCTGGGCCCCCGTCATAGGACTTGATGTCGGACTGCCTGGTTTAGTTGGGTACATCAGGGCTATTTATGTAACCGCCCGTGGTGGCCCGCACACGTCCCCCTGAACATGCCTGTGACTTGTGTTAATTCTGGGTTTAAAAGAGCACTGCAGACTCTGAAATGTGGAAAAGGTTCTCAAGTCCTCATGTGTGGCATTGATTATATCCTGTCACTTCACCTCCTCCTTGGAGACGAAACGTGGTCCCGCTGGCAGTGGCAGAATTGTCACTCGAGCTTTTCTTCCCTCCCAGGAAAGAGATGGCTTCGGTGGCCTCGCGGTGGCCAGGGGACGAGGCCGGGGCCGGGGCGACTGGAGCGTGGGAACCCCCGGCGGCGTCCAGGAGATAACATACACCGTGCCGGCAGATAAGTGCGGCCTCGTCATCGGCAAAGGTAAGGGCGCCGGGGTGTCCGACGGCGGGCAGGTCCCACACGGTGCCCCCAGAGCACACGCCCGGGTCTATGCACTGCACCTGAGCCAGCATACCAGGTCTGTGGGAACCCGACCACAAACACGGGTAGAGCGGGTCGTTTGTTCCCGACCACGACGAAGGCCCACTGCCTGGTGAGGCAGCTCGGTCGTGGAAAAGGTGCCCTGCACCCGGTGAGGGGCCTCTTGAGTGTTGGTCGATCGGCTGATCAGCGATTAATATGCCTCCAAGGTTGAGAGAATTCCTCATGCGAAGATCGCTGCCCGCCAGGGGTCTCCCTTCTGGTCCTTAGTGGATGTGGGCATCTGGTCTCTGTTGACACACGTGAAGGTGGCTTTTATGTTGTCAGCATATCTCCCGTGTGTCCCAGATGCCCCATGGAAGGAAATAAAAATGGACGGGCCCGTTGTTTCCAGGCTTTGTCGAGAACGTTAGCAAGAAGCCCTTGTTAGCGGCCGATGCGGCCCCTGCGTCACCACAAGCAGGGGAAGAGCAGGCAGTTCCTTCTCTGCGGCGCTGAAGGTGCCTCGGGGAGGGTGTCGTCCGCAGGCCCGCAGGGAGCCTCCCGCCCGCAGCACTGCGTCTGCCAGCCTGTGGAGGAGGTGGATGCAGCCTTCTCCCCAGAATTTCTCCGGTTTCTGTGGCCACCACACACCCCTGAGTGCACAGGGGTCGCCTGAGCTCACGTGCCCTCCTGACGTTCTCAGTCCCCTGCTAGAGCCTGCCTCTGGCCCTGCCCGCGAACGGTGTGCACGCACTCGTGTGTTCCTTCCAAAGGTGTACCTCCTGGCGTCGCGTGGATTGTCTGCCTTCTGGAGGCGGTGGGAACGACGTGGGATCCTTTTCATTTCCTGGCCAGGGCGGGGCGGGGGGTGCGTGCAGGTGAGCAGTTAGTGGTTGGTGCCCACCGCCCAGGTGCTGCGCTCAGTCAGACCCACCACCCAGCCGTTCAGCCCGGCTGCTGCGACATGAAAGCCGGTCGGTGTCTGTCGGTGGAGAATCAGATCCAGGTTTCTGTGCCTTTTGAGAAGCATTTTATCAGCGCAGTTTGACCACACGTCTCCCCTGGCCAGGCTGGGCCTCACCGATGTTACTATGACCGCGCCCCGTAGTCCGGGAGCCGGGGTGCTGGCTAAGCCCCTCTTAGCGTGTCCTCGACAGTCCCCCTGAGTGACTCACACAGGAGAGTAACAGCACAAAGTGGTGACCCATCTCCTGTCCAGGGCTCCGACAAGCTTGGTAACGCAGAGCTCAGTGAGCAGGACTCTTCTCCCCGCCATGCGTGTGCACCCACACGCACACACACACAGGGTCGGGTGGGAGGCGCATGGTGAGGGTGAGGGAGGAAGACGGGACAGGGGGCCACAGGCAGCCAGGCGGGCTCCCCCCGGCTGCAGCCCCGGGACAGACGCTGCGCCCCCTGGGGCCCCTGCTGGATTTCCATGATAAATACAGGCCGCCCCGCTCTTGTCAGCCTGGCCTTTTAGCAGGTTTGATTAATTGCTTTACGATTTCACGTCCAGCTGGGGGGCCGCTGGTGGGTCGCTTCTGCCCCCCATCAGGTGGAAGAATGGACAGGCTGCTGAATGCGTCTGTAGACAGCCACCATGTGCCAGGCTGGTGACCTCATTTTGAAGGAAGATGAACTTAAATTAACTCCTTCCGGCCCCTGCGGTTTCGTGGCGCCTCTTTGCCGCACTGGCGTGCTGCTCGGCCTCGGCGGTCGGGGCCTGCGGGGCGGCTGCTCCGGCACCCGGCGGAGGCGGCCAGCCTGGGCTGTGTGGCGCTCTCGCCTCCAGACCCCCACGGCGCCCAGGGTGGGGACATGAGGGTGCCTTCGGGCGCCGGGCGTGCGGTAGGAAGGCCCATCCTTTTTGCTCTCCGTGGCACCCCAGAAACGCCGTGCCCAGGGCTGGCAAAACTCCTCATGTTTCCTGGTGCAAAGAAAATGAAGTCACGGCCCCCGAGTGGATGGTGGGAGATCCAGGGCCGGGGGGGGCCTTGCTCCCACCTGGGGCTGGGGAGGCTGCCGCAGGCTTTCTGGGACCGCATTGGCCCCTGCTGTTTGCTCAAGGGGGAGAGGCACAGCTTTGTGCGCACAACCCTTTGGTCGGCTGAGTGCTTTTTCGTTTGCTTTTAAATTGAAAGCCGCCCTCAACTAAACTGACCCACAGCACAGCGATTTGCACCAGGCTCTCTCTCCCAAGGCCATCAGCCTCCTGGTGTCCTTCCTGTGGCGCCTACCTTCAGGGGGGCTGGCGGGACCCCGTCGAGGGCTGGGCTTGCTCTTGGGAGCCCCTTCCTGTCTGCGTGCCTGGTAGGTGCTCCAGCAGTGGGCTGGGCCGCAAACGACAGATGTCATCGGAGGTTGGTTTTGACTCCGGGCTGGGCAGAGGGACTCGGAGACTGGCCTTCAGTCTTTGCTTTTGATCGTCTGGGGCTCTCTGCTCTCCTGCACCAGACATCCCAGAGACCGTCTTTCTCTAATATTCGTAAAACTCTGCTCCCAAGTTTTCCTCTTACTCTGCCTGCCGCCCCCCCCAATGGAGCAGAACTGATCTGTAAGTTCTGTGAAATTTCTAAAGAAGAATCAAACCATTGTGACACTGCTGGGCCCTTTGTTACGCAAATCTCATTAAGAGACTGGAACTCTCACGGGTTTTTCAAAGAGTCCAACTAAATTTTCATTACCCCACTCCACCCAGGCCTCTGTGACCCCCGTCCTTGGCTGCCTCTGTCTAGACCTGCTCTCCCCCCCGACCCCCCCCACCCTCAGTGGAGGAGGCAGGGACCTGAGAAGTGACAGGGTGGGACATTGGAGGCCCGAGTGGGCTCCGGGCATTGTTGGAGCCAGGGGCCGGCTGTTTGCCCTGTGGAGGGAGAGAGAGCTGCCATGAGGTGGCCCACGCCAGGGCTGAGGGGGCCCCCATTGTACGAGTTGGATGGGGTGCCCTCCCTGGGCCTGTGTGGGCCGAGCTCCTTCATGTGGATCCAGGGACCCTGGGCTTTTGTGCGGGGCACCCCGTGGTGCCTGGCCTCAGCCTGGCTGGGAGGGAAGGACCAGCTTCACGCATGAGTCTGATTCTGCGGACGTGAGAGCCCCGATGTCCGTCAGAACCGGTTCAGAGTAAACTGAGGGCTCCTCTTCACGGCTGAACACTCTAGAACGTCTGGCTCTGCCTCAACTGCCGCTTACCCTTGTGTCTTGTGTCCGCCTACCTGCAGGGGGTGAGAACATCAAAAGCATAAACCAGCAGTCGGGGGCGCACGTGGAGCTCCAGCGGAACCCCCCTCCCAACACTGACCCCAACCTGCGAATATTCACCATCAGGGGCGTCCCTCAGCAGATCGAGGTGGCCAGGCATCTCATAGATGAGAAAGTTGGCGTACGTACAAGGTCCTCCCCCCACCTGGCGTAACGATAGCTGGGTTCCCTTTTGGATGTCCCAGGTACCTGTCCTCCCCCACGTGCTCGTACTTCCTGTGCTTTTCGGCCCTCACAGCACGTGAGGGAGACCCCTTCCGCTTCGCCAAGGGGGAAGGTCGGGGCCTGGGGAGGGTGGGGGTGGGGGGGGTGCCAGGCGATGAAGGAAGCCCTCTGGCAGGTCTCCCTAAGCTCAGCAGCTCAGGCCCAGAGCCGTGCTCCCCGCAGGCCTAGATGAGCAGCCGGGGTGGCGGCCTCCCCCTGGCGCGGCCCTGACTCCCGCGGGCCTGGCCCTGGCGGCCGGCCCTGCAGGCAGCGTTCATTGACTCTGGCTTTAGTTTCAGGCGCCTCAAAGCAGATAAAGAAAGGGAGTGTTGATGGAGGACAGATTGGCCACTGCTCACCTCAAAGGGGACGTAGAATGGCAGAGAGAGCCGTGGGCCAGCCTAAATTGACGGGAGAGTCAAGCAGGTTGGTCCCGATCCCCAGGGTGACACGTAGGGCAGTTGCGGTGGTGCCGGTATTGGCTGCGTGGTGGTATCGGTCACTCGAGGGGGCAGAGGCCACTTGTGCGCGCCAAGCCCACTGTGGGGAAGCGAGGCTAGTGAGCGTCCTAGGGCACCCCCCCTTCCCCCCTCTCCGGCTCCGTCCCCCCGCAAGCGGCAGTTTGCCTCGGGCTGGGCCTGGGCAGCGGGCAGAGGCGCGGCCTGCAGGCAGTGAGAGCCCCCTCTGTGCCCACGACAGGGGACCGGCCTCGGAGCACCCGGAGCCTTCGGACATAGCCCGTTCAGCCAGCCGCCCACGGCGCCTCCGCAACAGTGAGTCCCTTGCGTGGTCTCTGCAGGGAGAGTTCACTCCGCCCCAAGAGGCCCCCTCTTCAGCCACGTCCAGGGAATGCGGCCAGCAGCCTGATGCTGTGGGGGTGGCCACGACCCATGCTTTTGCCCTTGCCTGCCGGGCCCTCTCTGTCTAGCCTGCTCACAGCCTGGCCTGGGGTGAGAGCCCTCCCGGAGGCAGAGGACCTTGAGGTCACCTCCTCGAGGGGCCCTCCCCGCCGGGCCCTTGGGCGCTGTGTTCATTTGTTCCTCACTGTCTTGCAGCGCTTTTCCTCCGCGGAGCTCGGGCTGCTTCCCCAGCATCGCTGCTAAGGTGAACGGAAACCCCCCCAGCACCCCTGTGAGGTGGGTGACTTCTCACTCTGTCGGGATAGGGGGCAGTGGGGGCGGGGGTCCAGCGAAGGGCACGGGCGAGGTCGGCGTGGCGGGAGGGGGGGTCCACAGTGAGGAGGAGGAGGGGACGTGTCAGGCTCTGGAGCGAACGACTCTCTGTCTTCCCAGTGGTCCTCCGGCCTTTCTGACCCAGGGATGGGGCAGCACCTACCCGGCGTGGCAGCAGCCCGCCCAGCAGGTCCCAAGTAAGTGACTCGGGCGGGAGGAGGTGGGACCGTGCGCCGAGGCCGAGGGGCTGGTGTGTCTGCTGGGAGCCACCGGCAGGCCCTGTGGGGACGGGGTGTGTGCACCTTAGTGGCTCTCCAGCCGGGCCGCTGGCTGCCTCCTGCCCTCCTCTCAGTTCTTTCTCTCCCGTCTGCTCCGTTCTTCTCGGGGCCAGCGGCTTTGCTCCCAGACCTGGAGCAGGGGGGCCCTGGGGGGAGGGGTTGTTGTGCCTGGCCCCGCCCTCCCTTCTCCCCCTGGCTGTGCCCGCTTGCCAGGCGCCCCCCACTCCCCGGCCCTGGGCTCATGGCGACTGTCACCCCCTCTTGTCTCCAGCACGCTCTTAGAAAGGCCATTCTTTCTACTTCCTGGGCTCTTCAGAGAATTAGCTCTGCTGGGTGACGCCTCTCCTGACAGCTGATCGACAGGGAAGGTGCCCTCTTGGAATCAGACGCCCGCACCCTGTCCCCCAGTCCCCACACGAGCCTCATGAGTCACACTCGGGTTTTGTTGCTGGCACAGCCCTTGGAAACAAGAGCGAAGCAGAAACTTTAGCCTCAGAGTTTCGGGCCCTCAGAAGTGGCCGCCCACCTGTGTTTGGAAAGCGCTCTGTAGCGAGTGTGCACGTGGTCCTGGCCGCGCTGCTCCCGAGGGACTGAGGGATCGAGCCGGCATTTGGGGCTCCCCACCCCCACCCCGAGCAGGGGCCTCTATGCCACCCGGTCCGGGGACACCCGCCCCAGGTTCTAGTTGGACGGTCACCCAGTGGAGTTGAACGTGGAAGCCGACGCAGAGCGGCCTTTGGCGCCGCCGGTCCCCTTCTCTGTCCGTGACGTGGAGGGTTTAGATTTGATTTCCAAAGTCCCCGCGAGCTCCAAAATGACACACGTGTGTTTGTTGTTACTCTTCTTCCTCGATACTTGTTGAAGCGTCTCGAACGCACCGGCTAGAGATTCGCACCACGAACACGTGCCGCCGCCTGGTGTCTGTCCAGCCATGTGTCACGGTGCTCACTTTGTCCCAGAACCCGTCCCCCTTCGCTTTCCTTCCGTGCTGGTTGGAAGGCGACCCGGGTCGGTGCACACTTGCCCCATTGTTGGCGCTAGAGACTCTGAGAAAGGCTTAGACTTGGGAAGCGACGGGCCATGGCGTCCCGCCAGCCGGGGGCTGACCCTGGGGCCATGGTGCCGCTGAGCCCCTGGCGGGCCAGGAGGGCTTAAGTTGGAGAAGACCCCTCAGGCTGGGCTCTGTGGGGGCGGGGACAGCTGGTCGCAGTCAGTCAAGTCTGGTTGGGAGGAAACACCCCGAGGCCTCTGTGTCTCACGGCCGAGCCCTTGCGCCCACGTGCCGCTCTCCCAGCTTGTCCGAAGCCACCGTGCTCTGATCCTAGCGGCGTCCTGGCTCCCTCCCTGCCCTCCTGGGAGGAGGGGGATGGTCTTCTACCCTCCGTGCCCCCACCTCATTTCCCGAGCCCCCCCCCCCACATCTTTCCTCCGCCGTGAACGTGGGCACTAGTGCGTGCTGCCTGTGGGCCGCCAACTGCAGATGTGACAGAAAACAGGACGCTGCAGGCATCTTAGGGGACACAGAAACCAGCCCTGTTCGAGGCTGGTCCTCCCTTTATGCCCAGGGCTGGTCACAGCCCCACGCGCCTCCTTTCCTGCTCCGTTCCTGCCCCGGAAAGGCCGGAGGCCAGATGGGGATGAGGTGCATGGCCTGGCCCTCGGCCCCTCTGCTGTGTGGCCCTCGTCTTCCTGCCCTCACTGTGGGCCGCCTCTGGGCCATCTGCCCTGCACTCCCTGCTCGTGCAGAGTGAAGCCACCAGTTCTCGAACAGAAGGGCCGCGCGAAGGGTGTGGGTGGCACCGCTTGGATCTTCCGGCCTGTGTGGAGGCCGATTCAGGCAGCCGTGGGCACCTTTGCCATGGCCCTGGGGCTCCCCGCGGCTCAGCTCTCCATCCGTAGGGTCGAGGCCGTTCTGAGCAGTCATCCCCTCCTCTCGGGGATCTTCATCACACCCCTCTGCCCGGCCGCCTGGGTGCTGGCCCCCCCCGTGTGCCCATGCGTCTCCCCACAGCCAGCCTGCTGCTGCCTTCTGGGCCGTGGGGCCCGGAGCGAGCGCGGAGCGGGGCCCAGAGCCGGTGCAGGTGCCTGATCGCCTCTGTGTTCTCCGCACAGGCCAGCAGAGCCAGGCACAGAGCAGCCAGCCCGACTACAGCAAGGCCTGGGAAGACTATTACAAAAAACAGAGTGAGTGAGTCGGCCTTCGCCTGTAGGCCTCGTTGCCCGTGGCCCCGCGTCCCCTGTTCTCTCCAGCGCTCTCCCTGTGTGACGCAGTCTCAGTCCTGCCTTTGCCTCCCCGTGTCCCTGTGCGTCTGTCAGGGGACTCCCCCCCCCCCCCCCCCTCTTCTGGACGCCACAGGGCCTGAGGACCGCCCTGGGCCGGCCCCATGAGGACTGCTTGGCCGGCGTCCTCTTCCCTGACCGGCTCATTTTGGTCCGTTCAGGGCGGGGAAGAGAGAGGATAAAACCGAGGGCCGGGAGCCTCACGGTGGGGTGTTGGGATGCTGGTTGCCCGCCTCGCGGAGTCTCGTGTTCTTAGCTGTGCCAGAAACGAAACCGGTCTTTTTAACAAGAGAAGCAAGAGATCTAGTAACAGCAACCAAAAAAGCCCCCACACAACTCGTTCAAGACGAGTACGAGATCCTCTGTTTATTCCGGAACTGCCAAGCCACGTGGTGTTGGAGGAAACGGCTCATGGGCCTTGACTTCGAAGGATGTTGCCTGCAGCTCAGAGCAGCCCGGGTCACAGGCTGCCAAAGAGCTCCTCGCCCTGGCGTGTGGGACCCTCACTGGGTGGATAGGCCTCCTGGGGATGTCGATGCGGGTCGGGGAGGTCATCGTCACCTCAGGCACCTGCTGAAAGGCCAGATGACCTCCTGAACCCAGACTCCCAGACATCCATGGGCCTGTGTTTCCAGCCCTAGTGGGATGGACCCTCCACACAGGAGCCCCCCACCCCCTTGAGTCAGGTGTTACACCACTTTTTCTCTTCCTCCCTCTCTCTTCCTCTGTCTCTGTGTCTGTCTCTGGCAGCCGATGGGGCAGGCAGACGGAGAGAACGGGAGAAGCCCGGCATGAGGAGCTGGTGGGGGCGGAACGGGCACAGGAGCTCGAGGCTCATAGCGCTTCCTGCAGCAGGGGCAGCGCCCGCCTGCCCTGAGCCGCCCTGGGCCTGGGGGAAGGGACCCCCCCATGCTGGCGGTGTCTTCCGCCTCCCGCGGCCCGGGCCCGCCCCCAATAACCCCCGTTCTCTCCTATTGATCAGGTCACGCCGCCGGTGCCGCTCCTGCAGCCAGCTCCCCGCCGGACTACACGCTGGCCTGGGCCGAGTACTACAGACAGCAGGTCGCTTTCTATGGGCAGACGCTAGGGCAGGCTCAGGCCCACAGCCAGGTGCGCCGCCGAGCAGCCAGCACGGCCCCAGCCCTCACCCCCCCACCCCAGCCTCTGTGTGCATCCTGCGCCCCTCCTCGCCCCAGAGAGATCGAGTTTGGGCCGAGGGGGAGAGGGATGGGTGGGCGGCCCCTGGAAGGAAGTTGTCTAATCTCTCCTCACATCTGGGCCCTGAGACTGCAGAGCCGAGGGCCACTCGGTGTCCCCAGCTCTCAGGGAGAGGGCCCGTGTGGGACTCTGGGCAGGCTCGACCTTGCAGTCGGGACTGTGGGGGTCACACCCTTGCCATTGGTCAGCGGTGGGGGCAGGCGGCAGGAGGGCGTCCCGCCTTCGTCCCGCATGGAAACCCGGGAAACCCGCTCGGTTCTCTGTCCAGTCAGAAGCCGCAGCAGATTCCTTGTTACCAGGGGGGGAGTGGCCAGATCCTCCCACACAGCGGTTTTCAGGTGACTGTCAGTCACCACAGGCCCCGGACCCAAAGCCCTTGGTCATCTCCCTGCCAAAATGGGCCCTCTGTGCCCGGCACCCCATGGAGACGGGGTTCGGGGCTGCCGGGTGGCTCAGGAGGGCTATCTCGTGCTCACTCCCCTGCCCTGCACCCCAGTGTCCCCGCTTGGAGAGCCTCGGGGCCCCCTGTTCGGGAGGGGGTTGTCCGGGCCGGGTCCTGTGCTCGGGGCCGTTGGCTCGTGCACTTGCACACGTGGGTGTGTGTGTGTGTCCGCGCCTGTTGAGGAGCCAGAGGGTGGAGGGTGACCTGTCACCTCCGTGCCGACGGCGACGAGGACGCCCCAGGCTGACTTCTCCCCCCTTCCTTCCACAGGAGCAGTAGGGCAGCCGCCTGCGCGCCTTCCTCCCCGAGATCATCACAAGCGAATCCCCATTTGTAACAGAGGTTTATAGATTTGCAAACCTTTTGATGAAGAACCTTCATTTTGTTCTGTGAAACACTATATTTAGATTAACCGGACTTTTCTAAAAATCGGGAAAATTCATTACTAAAATTTGCTGATAATTTCTGTTTCACTATTTTTGTTTGTATTTCAAACGTGTGAGCTCTGGGAGCCGTTCTGGAGCAGCTCCTGCCGATCTGGCACCAGGACGCGCCTCAGAGCAGTGGCATTTCAACACGGTGTGTTTTCGTTTCGTTTCGTTTCATTGGGTCGCGCGTCTTTTTATTCACAGTTGTTTTTTTTGGTTTTTGTGTTTCTGTTGCGACAGAAAGTGGCTTGGAAGTCTTAGGTGGTATGTAACAAATCCTTTTAAAAATTTTTAAACAGTATTTAAATATTCTTAAATGTGTAAATTCATTAAATGTCTTCTAATTTCTTCTATCTTGGCTGTCTGGTTTTATTGCATTTTTTAAAAAAACTGAACTATTATGTATTGTAATTAATTATGTGAATTCCGAATCGAGACAGAGAATTGTATTGCTGTCCAACAGGGATTGGGAGGGGGCATTTTATAGGGTTTGTATAATTTCTAGAGTGCTAAAGGGGTAATATAAAACTGTGTCCGTGTGTCTAGCATACGTTTTTTGTTCGTATCTCCGTTACCCGTTGGAGCTGAGTACAACTGTGTATCTAAGGCCTCCAGGCTTGTTTTAAAAACAAAAAACCTTTGTCTCTTCTCTCTGAAATATAAATACTGTTATTTTTAATATTAAAAAAGAAATCCGCTATAACTTTTAACAAACACTGTGGAACATTAAACCGCATAAAAATGTAGTAACTATTTTTTAATTCCAAGGCATTTTCTTCCTTTTTTCTTTGAGATATTTTCTTAATATTTGTCAAATTAACTAGATGAATGAATAAATCTAGTATTAACCACAATATGAACTAAATAATTTTGATTTAATAAAAGGGATACTATGATCTCCGATGTTTACTGTAGTGTATCTTGTACAGATAACATGTATTTTTAAAGGAAAGAAAAACGGAATCGAAGCTATTTTTCCTTGCATTTTTTCATTGATCCGAGGGACATTCCGTTTGAAATATACTGACGTTACAGTTTCCGGTTTTTTCCTCCTTATTTTCCTTATAATGCTTGAAATGTCTAACTATTAAAAAAGGCAATTGGAAAATGTTATGAAATGTTATGCATGTTGTTTAAAAAAAAAAGTGTTCTTTTTATTTGACTGACAATTCATTTTACACTCTATATAATAAAATTTCCACAAGGCGTCTTGTGGGCAAAGTATTTTCAATCTGTTTTGCTTTCCTTTCGCTCGTCCCGCCCCCCGCCCCCCGCCCCCTGCCATAAAACGCAGCGAAGATTCTTAGCAGTTCATAGCTGGTGCCCGGCCTAGGCTTCCTTAAGCTCGTTCGTGTAACTTGACGGTCTGACTGGAGGGCCCCGATCACCTGTCCCGCGCAGCAGCTCTGCACGTGGGTGTGACCCCAGGAGTCAAGAGTGGGTTTGCCCACGCCGAGGCGCTGTCAAGCTAAGTGGGGCTGGAAGATTCATTGAAGGGAGATTGCCCGCAGCCCTGCAGCCTGATCAGCACACTTCCCGGAACCGAGTCAGCACACCGCCGCCCTCCGCCCGCTTCCCCGCACCCCCTCCCTGGCGCGCTCGGCTGCCGCGCCCTTCCACGCTTTCCTAGGCTGCCCGGCCGTGCCCTCCTCGTCCCCGGCGCTCCGTCTGGCCTGGCCTGTCACCGTGGGCCCCCATCCCCCCACCCCCGAGCCCTGCTGCCCTCTGAGGGATCCCGGCCCGCTGGGATGCCTGGAAAGCCCCAGCACATGTGCTCGCTCTCTTTCTGTTCCCACTGGGGAAACAAGGAGGGGGCGTCCTTACCCACAGGTTCAAATCACAGAGGGTCCTGCGGATTCAGGACCGGGCGCGACCAAGCGGTCCCTGCTCTAGAGGAAACTGAGGAAAGAAGGAAGAGCCTTGTACTCCTCTTTCGCCACCCCCACCCCCCCACTTTCTGTTCCGCTCGGTTAAAGCAATGGGCTCAGAACACAGCCTCCCGAAATTAGTATCTGAAAACGCCCAGGCTCCGCCGCTAGCTGTCCGCGTGTCATCGCCTCGTGTAGACGGCCGGTGCCGCGAGCGTCCCGTGTCAAACCCTCTTTATGGTGGGGGTGCGTGTGTTCCCAGGTTGGGCCCCTTTTCTTCTCTCCACCCCAGGCTCTAAGAGGAGGGGGAAAAAAAGCATCTGTGGCTCCTTGAGGCCGAAGAGGGGTGTGGACAGCAGCCCGGCAGCAGCCATTCGGGGGCCTGTTGAGAGCCGGAAGACAAAAAGATGTGGCATCTTTCACTACACCTCTAGAGAATCCAGTTTGACGTTGAGAAATTGAATAGTAAAAGCCACTTGGAAAGAAGGAGGGGCGGCCAGGAGGAGGGGAGCGACGCTGGTGATGGAATGGGAATTGGGGAGAGGGCATTACAGAGAAGACTTCCTTCTAATTCATCTTCTAAGCTCTGTGCCAAAACAGCATTTGGCATGGTTCACAGGGAGCGATTGTGTGATAATGAACCCTAAGGTGTCCCTTAATTGAAGACTGAGCATTGCGGTTCGTGCCAAGAGTCCTAAATGGTGCAGGCTTGTGGGAGGATGCATTTTCTTAAATGTATCGGTAAGTACAGATTAGCGCTTGTCCCCAGTGAAATGCCCGTACTATAAATTATGGAAATCTCTCTCTCTCTCTCTCTGATGCAACCTTTTATTGAGGCGGGGGGGAGGCGGGGTGCAGTACAACAGGAGGCGGGGGGAAAGTTTGCAAGCATATGAAATTTGGCCTCACATTAACATGGCGCCCGCGGAGGATGGTTTTCATCAGCTGTCTGGTGTCCTGGAAGGCCAAAGTGCTTGAAATGTACCAAGTTCAGCGATTGTGTTCCATTAAGAAAAGCTGCATGGTCATCACTGAAGGGGGTGTTTGGGGAGGCGGGGGTGGGGCGGGTGCCCAGTCTGACTCCGGAACCCTGCCCCCGGCTCCCGCCCCTCCCACGCGCGACCGTGGCCTCTGCCCGCCGGCCCCAGGTTCAAGGACCAGACTGGGCTGTTCTGGAAGGGAGCGACCCAAGGGGTGACCGTCCATGGTGCCCCGCGGCGCCCACAGTAGGGCTGGCTGGGGCGCGGACGGCATGATGCAGGACCCGGTCCACGAAAGCATTCGGACACCACGGTTTTCCGAGCCCCGCTTCCGGTCCACGGGGGGCCCAGCTGGGGTTGTTTTAGACCGGCTAATGCAAATGGTCCTAACACACTCTTAAAGATTAACGGCCAGAAAATGGCTTGACACTCAGTTCCGAAGGGGGTGGCGGCCCTGGGTCCGTGCCTGCTGTGGGGCCGAAGGGGGAGTAAAGACACCCCTCGCCGATGAACCCGTGTTACCGTGAGGATCCTTGCTGGCCTTTGTCCCGGGGACTTCTAGCAGCATCTAGCAAGGCAGTTCTGGTCCCTTCCCAGAGGAGGTGAATGAGGGTCTCCGCATCTTGGAGGGTAGCCAGAAGGGCTCAGCGTGACCTGAGTGGTCACCTCAGTGACCTGTCCTTGGTCAGACAAGGGTAGGGGCAGGTTCTGGGCCAAGCCCTACGCTGGGTCTGTGTTCTAGAGCCCCCAGAAACTCCAGGACCACCGAGCCAGGGGCGGAGATGGTGGGGGAACGTCCGGAACAGTTAGCGCTGAGGGCCAACCTTGGGCCAGGCCCCGTAAGCGCGTGACAGCCAACTGTCGTCTTTGATTCCGCATTTAGGGATTCACCTGCTCACTAAAGTCTGCCTGTAATCTTCAAATGAATACCCACTGCACTTCCGCAGACCTTCTCAGCACAAAAACCCAGAGTTGGGCGACGCGCAGGTTTCTCGCTGAGGGAAACGAAGGCAGCACACTGCCTGCTGGTCACAGCTCCGGGGCTGGAAGCCAGTGTCCGTCTCACCGTGTGGTCAGTGCCGCAGTTTCGCAACGTGTGTGCTTTCGGTGGGTGATTTTGCTACTTAAAATGGCCCCGGAAGAAGGTGGTGACATGCCTTGCGGAGAAAATGCGTGTGTCCCTGAAGCTCTGCTCAGGCATGAGTTACTGTCCTGTCGGCCACGAGTTCGGTGTTTATGGATTGACAATATCCATTACATGAGGTATCTTTATTTTTTTGTATTTATTGAATTTAATCTCTCCACCCCAACGTGGGGCTTGAATTCATGATCCCAAGATCAAGAGTCACGTGCTCCTCTGACAGAGCCAGCCAGGCACCCCAAATAAGGTGTCTTTAATTTTGTATTAAGTTTATTTATTTTATGAGAGAGAGAGAGAGAGAGAGAGAGAGAGAGAGCACAAGCTGGGGAGAAACAGAGAGAGAGGGAGAGAGAGAATCCCAAGCAGGTTTCACACTGTCAGCGCAGAGCCCGACGCGGGCCTCGAACTCACGGACTGTGAGATCATGGCCTGAGCCCCGATCAAGAGTCAGACGCTTAACCAACTGAGCCAACCAGGTGCCCCCAAATAAGGTGTCTTTAAACGGAAACACACATGAAACTGATGACATTGTGGCCAGAGTCCTGAAGGGGACCTAACCCTGTGTTTCCCCCAGGGGGCTGGGGGGCCCCATTCCCGGATTCAGGTTCTCAGAGACTGTATAGAACATAGTTGCCACAGGTAAGGACCATCATCCACCTCTCACTCTCCTTCGAAGGCCCCACCACCCTGAGGGGCTCGTTTTAGAGACGAGGGAACAGGTTTAAAGGGGTTCTTACCAGAGTCAGAGTCGCGCTGCGGAAATGTAGATGGAAGACCCAGCGCTCAGGCCTCAGTCCCACCACCCCCTGTCACCACATTGGCGAACAGAAGTGACCTGTGTGCCCAGGACACCTAACTCGGGTCTAGAGGAACCTAGTGGGCTCAGCCCACCCGGGGCAGCAGAGTGTAGGGTACAAATGCATGGACACTCAAGCTTGGGTTTGAGCGCTGCCCTCACTGCTGTGACCTAAGGCAAAGTATTTAACCCTTCGTGCCCCAGCTCCCTCGACTGCAGTGTGGGGATAGGAACTATCTATCCCGTCACGGGCTGAGTTAGAATTCAACGCACTTGACATCTGCTTCATAATGAACACTCAAAACATGGTGGCTCATAGTAATAGAGTCTAGGGCTTCTGACTGCTCCAGTGGCTTTTCCTGTCGCATGGCGACTGCCAGGGGCTGACAGTGTGATCTGAAAAAAGTGTCAGCCTCACTACTGACCCTCTAACTTCTTCTGGGCTCTCCTGGTCTCCCCAGGATTCTGTGACCCCAGATCCAGCTCATGGGTCCCCTGAAGCCATGACGGCTAGGCCATTGGAAAGAAGAGCCTTCAAGGTCAGGTGGGGCAACCCTGGGAGAAGCCAGGACCCCCCCCCCTTCCCAACACACACACATCGCTTTGTGCCCCAGATGTGTGGGAGATGACTGGCCAGCACGTCGTGGGTGGATCAAGGCTGCCCAGGTTTGGCCTGCAACATCATGTTTAAGGCAACCCTATTTCAAGCACACTGAGAAGGAGTTTGATCAATTGTGTCTCCCCCTCTCGCATCAGACTGTCTAATCTGGACCCCTGAGGAAGCAGGGACCTGGCCCCCAAACTGTCCCAGCTGTACTCACAATAGCCAGTCTGCTGAGTCCCTTCAGTTCACCGGGTTGGAGTCGGGTGCTCTCGGCTGTGTTTAAGAGAAGGATGGCAGCAGGGGCGCCTGGGGGGCTCAGTCGGTTAAGCGTCTGACTTTGGCTCAGGTCATGATCTCATGGTTGGTGGGTTCGAGCCCCACCTTGGGCTCTCTGCTGTCAGAGCAGAGCCTGCTTGGCATCTTCTGTCTCCCCCTCTCTCTCTGCCCCTCTGCCGCTCGCTCTCTTTCTCACAAATATATAAACATTTAAAAAAAAAAAATCTTTTTAAGTTCTTCCCCAAACCTGCCTTTTCTTCAGTCAAGGGGAGCAAGGAGTCACATAGTGAGTCCAGACGGCCTGGCTTTCACTCCCTACTTGGACAGCTGACTTCCTCTTGACCAGAACAGGTCACATCCCTCAGTTTCCCTTCCATGGGAATTAGATCACACCAGTGGTTTCCAAACTGCGTTGGACTGGGACCAATCAAACTGTTCTTTATTCAAATTCCAATACAATATATTAAATGTATTTATTTTTTAAATTTGTTAATGTTTATTTTAGAAAGAGAGAGACAGCATGAGCAGGGGAGGGTCAGAGAGAGAGGGAGACACAGAA